TCGCTTGGCGTGCTGCCGCAGGGGGTCCTGCAGGTGGTCCGTCTGGCCGAGGACGGACTCCATGAGGCGCATGAAGGCGGACTCGGTGCCGCGCGAGGCCTCGCAGCGCTGCAGCGACGTGCTCAGGTCGTTCCACGACCAGCCCAGCGGCGCCTTGCTCGGCAGCACCGACACCTTCCCGGAAGACGACGAGGCCGCCGTCAACATCTCTGCCGGCATGAGGCTCCCGAGGTCCTCGAGGTCGGCGTCGTGCGGCGCCCAGGGCTCCCAGGACGCCTGCTCGGAGGGCGCCGCTCCGAGCACGAGGACGGCGGCGACGACCAATAGCGACCGGTGCATCCTCAGCATCCTGAGAAACCGCAGTAAAGAGAGGTGAGAACTTGTGGAGCAGATGCAGGAAATAACCGAACCTATTCCGTAAGTTAACATCAGAATGACGAAAACAGAATGATATATTTCTGTCTGTAATGTTACGAAATACCAAAACACATTACTATTTGTGAGATAGGCTACCAACCGTGCTGGTTGCAATGCAGAGTGCCTTGGGAAGAGTAACGATAGAACATGAATGACATTATCCGGAAGGGAAAGCACGCGCTTTTACGCTTAGGCATCTTATATGCATGCGCCGCCAAATCCCGGGGCCGTGCTGAGTCAGCCGCGGCTCCACACGCGAGCTCACGCACGCACGCGCGCACGCACGCGCCGCGGGGACTACCCCAAAGTCGCGGCCTGGCCTGCTCGGCGCGGTGACCTTGCTCCACTTCAGCACCGGCGGCCGCGCTGCGCCTCACGCAGCGGTACTCGTCTGCCGCGCTGCAGTGGCGCTCGCGCGCGAGGCGCGACCCGGCGTGGCGTGTGCCGTGCCCGGCGCCTACTCACAATAGAGGCGCCGGCGGGGCAATGCCCGTCCATGGCGGCCGGGCCGGCTAGGCCAAGCAACCAGCGCTGCTACCGAAGCGAGGCGCGGTGGCGCTGCAGTAGTGTTCGCCGGCTCGCGACCGGACGG